ATTGTGAGGGAGGGAAGGAAAAAAACAGAACAAACAAAACCCGAACGCCACTTAAGGCAATGGGTGCAACTCGAAATGAAATGCTCATTTGAGAAGGTAAAGACAACAAACAATTGACGACCGAAACGTCAATCCGCAGACGTTTAGATAAATATTTGCGTCGCGCATTAATCGTCGAGGGCCCAGCGAGTAAACATAGGCTGTGAGCGATCGACATCTTGGCCCTGTCGACGTCCGCCCCACTCGAGGATATCTCTCGAAGACTAAACAAAAGCATCATACATTCACAGCTTTGGGACGGCATATCTTATTTCACGCTAACAAAACAATCCATGTATCCGTTCATTTATTTTCCGACGTTTTCATGGCTTCAGAAAGGTGTAGAATTAAAAAAGTACGTGAGGTTGCACAGCGGTGCCTCGGCGCTCTGGAAATCGTATTACTTTTCTATTTGCCCTTCTTTGTAGTCGAGTGTAACGTAAATATGAACAAGTCGTCGGAAATTCTCATTTCCTTCGAGAATTCATAGAGACGACAATGCGGCGTTTTTGGACGCTTAATGCGGCTATTTAAAAACTATGATACGGTTTTGTGGGATTCTTTGAAAGGCATGTTGACCAGAGTAATGCTTGGTAAACTTGATAAAGCGATAAATGACGTTCATTTATTCGGATCTGATGTTTAATTCTTTTATATAAGTACCAAAAGAAATTACGAATTCATTTATTATTTTAATAAATTTGTAAGTTATAAGATATTTTTTTCATAATCAAGAATTTTAACAGCATTACTTAGTCATGCTTACCTACCATTACTATTACTTATTTTCTATTAATTAAGTTACGGATAAGCAAACTAAGTCTATAAAATCTTATATTAAATCTTTAAAAGACTTTAAGTCCATAACTTAAAATCACTCGCTTGATAAAATGCTAGTATTAAAAAAGTGTCAAAACGTAATAGAAATATTATTTAATGTCTGGGAACTGTCGAAGGGATGTCCATATTTGTCCGGCGATGAGCAAAGTCCTTTACACTTGTCACATTGGTAGGAAACCAAATACAAGCGACGAGATGGCCGGGGAAAAAACGTGAATGGCTTTCACAAGTAAACGTGATGTTTGCACAAAGATAAAGCCTGTGTGAATGTGTCAAAATAACAAATATTGTCTTTAGGGGCTTGCGGCACTCTATTCAGGTCATTAAAACCTTTTGCGACTTTATAATGCGTGTAACAGATTAAAAAATCACCTAAATATTAGGGAAGTGAACTACACATATTTTTTTATTTAATCATGTATATTTTATTGGAACACATTTTTATTTTGGACAAGCTTTCGCCCGTGACTCTGTCCGCGTGGAATTAAAAAAGAAAACAGAGCTAAGTATCCTATGTGTTCTTCCAGACTAGCCTCTACGTCTACACTAATTTTCATGACAAACATCCATCCATCTAAACTTTTGCATTTATAATATTAGTATGACTAACTTTAAGGCCAGTAGTAGTAGATTTCATACTTTATTTTAATTGTTATTAATTAATTGTTAAAAAAACATAGTTATCTCTGTTGATTTGAGAAAGAAGGAAGGAGATAAAAGTATGTTTTCGTAAACGTTACATCAGTGAAAAACGTTACAAATATATCTAGAATTCGCGGAATAGATACATTTATGTCTACATATCGCGAATGTAAGTAATATTTATCTATGTCTTGTTCCATTTTTAGATTATTTGTTTAAAATTTTTTGTAGTTCCTTTAACGATAATTATGTTTATTTAAGACTAAGTTTCGCCCGCGACTCCGTCCGCGTGGAATTAAAAATTAAAAAGTGAGTAGCTTATGTGTTCTTTCAGACTATCCTCTACATCTATACCAAATTTCATAGAAATCCGTTTAGCCGTTTACGCTACAAACACTAACAAACATCCATCTAAACTTTCGCATTTATAATATTAGTATGATGTTATTTCTCTTCACATGTAGCTTGCCCTTAAAAGTGTTTCATTGACAGTACACACTTCGCATACAAATTAACCCTTTATTATTTCATTGGCATCTTACAAGGCGTCAAAATATCGTACTGAAACGACCAAGATAATAAGACCTCTGCTGTATTGAACTTTACACTTTAAGTTTGGCGTATAAAGGTGTATGAAACAGATTCGTGTGTCAAGTTTAATTGGTCGCTGTTATCATTTCTATCGTGACGGCACGCGATTTTGTACGTAATGTAATATGGACGCCTGATGAATACGAATTAACTGAGGTGTGGCAGATTTTTTATTTGCGAAACATACGGAACGATTTTAAGTGGCCATTGAAAGTATGCCGTATTATATCTCATCAAATTGACATCTCTTTTAATTTGTTGAAATTCAACTTGTCATAATATTAGAGACCCCTTTTAGTGTCAGAAAATAAAGAGGTAAAGATTTTTTTTATATAAACGGAATATTAATAATCACGTATAGATTTGAATTCGAATATTTTTCTCAAATTAACTATAACGTATGTCTACTTTATTACTCTGTGATTCTAGGCTTGTGATTTTTCTAGAAGGAAAACTGTTATGATAGAATTTTCTTAAAATTAGGTACAGATTAGTGTTTAATAAATTTGAAAATAACTTATACATCTAGTTAATTATTTACTTAGCAATCGTACTGAATATTATAAGTGCAAACATTTGTATGGATAGATGGCAAGGAAGTTTGGCACAGACGTAGAATATATTCTTAATAACTCATAAGGTACTAGTTAACTTTTTTAATCAACACAGACGGATTCGCGGCAACAACTAGTATATGAATAAAAAATCACTTAATATCAAATCATCTTAAATTTATATGTTAATATAGACAACAGTTCATTTGTTTGTTTGGTATCGCGACGGCGACGACGGCTTTGAATATTCAGAAGCGTCTGGTTCAACCTTTCAACAGGGCAAAGAACTACTGAATATCGTGCCGTGATGAATGTTAGATATTGTTACACTTTGATAGATATATTTTAACATGTATAAGAGCCTGTCCCATTACTGGCTGATAGAGGCTCAGATAGCTTAAAAATAACAGTCAGGTAAGGTAACAAAATCCGATATTTCCATCACATATTATATACGTTCGATTGTTAAAAGACGATTTATAGCCTATGTGTTCATTAAAACTATCTACAATTATGCCTAATTTCATCGAGACCTGATCCGTAGTTTAGGCTACAAACTCTAACAAACATCTATCCATCTAAACTTTTGCATTTTTTTTTACAATAGGAAGCCAACGTATCACATGAAATAAGTTCTGTATGATAAAGAAAAGTAATTATAACTAAAACACAATATCATGGATACACAGTTACAGGCTAACACAACATTATAATAAAAAATAAAAGTTTTACATGACATAGAATTAAAAACTAAAACTAAACTCACTACAAAAAAGAAAAATAACTTAATGTATACTCCTAAGGTGTGTGATCTTTACTGAAATAATAATTTTTAATTTTAGTTTTAATTAAGGAATTTGAATCATTAAATATATCAATGTTTGATTGCTTAGAGATTTTGTTGTAACTGTTTATAATATTAAGTAAAATTAAATGTCGAATACAGCTGCAATTACTACTGTAATAAAATTGCGAACGAAAGATTAGAAATATTAGAATAATAACTCGGTTGTATAATTTTAGAATACACTATAATAAATGCAAATGTAAATGTATGGATGTTTGTCACTAATTCACTTCATAACTGCTTTACAGATTCAGATAAAATCATACAAATGTAAAACATACTCTGGAAGAATAGGTTAGTATAGTTTAATTCCGTGCAGACGAAGTCGTAGGCATAATAACTATTAGTGTACTAAAAACTCCTTCATTGCGGCCATGAAAGTTGATTGTGTATACAAGTACGAATATGTTTGTTTAATGCAATGAGCACGCGCCACTTTGATACTGAGTGATAAGTGTGAGATAACATAGAGTTAAAAACATTTTAGATACGGCATTGAACTATTTAAAATAACTCTGTATTTCATACTACACAAATGCTAAATTTTATCATATTTACATATTAAATAATTACATTAAATGTAAATACGACAAAGTAATAATTCCAATATGGCATTTTATCACGTTAGGCTATATAAAACTACCTTTTGTAAAAACCGTAATTAAAAAACACCTTAAACAAACGCACAAGCATCGCACTTTGTATTTCATTACTTTTACGTGTAATAAAATGTTATATACTATTAGAAAGCTTTCATTTTTAATGGTACATTTCAGCAAATTATTTGAAATGAAAGAAAAAATAATTGTTAATATAAATTTGTTATTGTTTTTATGCTCTATTTTATTAAAACTGTATAACATTAAAAAATAAATAAATCACAATCTTTAAATGATGCATTATTTATAATTAAATTTATTCTTTATTAATAAGTGTAATAACAATTAATAAATGCGAGCACATAAACGATCAAAGGTTCGAGCCGCCGACGGCGGTGATACTTTCGAAATTTGTAAAAGAAATTAAATTAAATTTATTCCATTTTTGATTTCGGTGTTTTTGAATTAACAAATTATTTTATGTTTTGACTATTCATTGCGAAAATATTGCACAACAGATGTTTTAATTCATTTTAAAATCAATTTATAATTTTCATTAAAATCAACATAAAATGTTTCCTATTTAATTCAGTGATAATTATGCAAATTTTAATGTGTTAAAATTATTAATTGACATTTTAAATTGAAATAAATTGACCGTTCATTATTCCACCAGTTTTTTAAAGTATTCCTGTTAATACAAATAATAATTATGC